GTCTTGACTCTTTATCCAATTTGCCAATCTGTGTCTTTTAATTTGGGCATTTAGTCCATTTACATTTAAGGTTAATACTGTTATGTGTGAATTTGATCCTGTCATTATCATGTTAGCTGGTTATTTTCCCCGTTACTTGATGCAGTTTCTTCATAACATTGATGGTGCTTACCATTTGGCATGTTTTTGCAGTGGTTGGTACTGGCTGGTCCTTTCCATGTTTAGTGTTTCCTTCAGGAGCTCTTGTAAGGCAGGCCTGGTGGTGACAAAATCTGTCAGTATTTGCTTGTTTGTAAAGGATTTTATCTCTCCTTCACTTATGAAGCTTAGTTTGGCTGGATATGAGATTCTGGGTTGAAAATTTTTTTCTTTAAGAATGTTGAATATTGGCCCCCACTTCTTCTGGCTTGTAGGGTTTCTGCTGAGAGATCTGCTGTTAGTATGACGGGCTTCCCTTTGTTGGTAATCCAACCTTTCTCTCTGGCTACCCTTAACATTTATTCCTTCATTTTAACCTTGGCGGATCTGAGAATTATGTGTCTTGGGGTTGCTTTTCTCGAGGAGTATCTTTGTGGTGTTCTCTGTATTTCCTGAATTTGAATGTTGGCTTGCCTTGCTAGGTTAAGGAAGTTCTCCTGGATAATATCCTGAAGAGTGTTTTCTAACTTGGTTCCATTCTCCCTGTCTCTTTCCAGTACACCAGTCAAATGTATACTTGGTCTTTTCACATAGTCCCATATTTCTTGGAGGCTTTGTTAGTTTCTTTTCACTCTTTTTTTTCCTCTAATCTTGTCTTCTCACTTTATTTCATTAATTTGATCTTTAATCACTGATATCCTTTCTTCCACTTGATTGAATTGAAAGCTTGTGCATGCGTCATGAAGCTCTCATGCCATGGTTTTCAGCTCCACCAGATCATTTAAGGTCTTCTCTACACTGTTTATTCTAGTTAGCCATTTGTCTAACCTTTTTTCAAGGTTTTTAGCTTCCTTGTGATGGGTTAGAATGTGCTCCTTTAGCTCGGAGAAGTTTTGTTATTACCGACCTTCTGAAGTCTACTTCTGTCAACTTGTCAAACTCATTCTCCATCCAATTTTGTTCCCTTGCTGGTGAGGAGCTGCAATTCTTTGGAGGAGAAGAGGTGCTCTTTTTTTGTTTTTGTTTTTTTTTTGGAATTTTCAGCTTTTCTGCTCTGGTTTCTCCCCATCTTTGTGGTTTTATCTACCTTTGGTCTTTGATGTTGGTGACCTATGGGTGGGGTTTTGGTGTGGATGTCCTTTTTGTTGATGTTGATGCTATTTCTTTCTGTTTGTTAATTCCTTCTAACAGTGAGACCCCTCAGCTGCAGGTCTGTTGTAGTTTGCTGTAGGTCCACTCCAGACTCTGTTTGCCTGAGTATCACCAGTGTAGGCTGCAGAACAGCAAATATTGCTGCCTGATCCTTCCTCTGGAAGCTTCATCCCAGAGAGGCGCCTGCTTGTTTGAGGTGTCTGTCGGTCCCTACTGGGAGGTGTTTCCCAGTCAGGCTACATGGGGGTCAGGGACCTGCTTGAGGAGGCAGTCTGTCCATTCTCAGAGCTTGAATGCCATGCTGAGAGAACCACTGCTCTCTTCAGAGCTGTCAGACAGGGACATTTAAGTCTGCGGAAGCTGTCTGCTGCCTTTTGTTCTACTATGCCCTGCCCCCAGAGGTGGAATCTATAAAAGTAGTAGGCCTTGCTGAACTGTGGTGAGGTCCGCCCAGTTCATGCTTCCTGGCCACTTTGTTTACACTGTAGGCTATTCGAGCCTCAGTAATGGCGGATGACCCTCCCCTCATCAAGCTGCCGCGTTGCAGGTTAATCTCAGACTGCTGCGCTAGCAGTGAGCAAGGCTCCATGGGCATGGGACCTGCTGAGCCAGGCACAGGAGAATATCTCCTGGTCTGCTGCTTACTAAGACTGTGGGAAAAGTACAGTATTTGGTCAGGAGTGTACAGTTTCTCCAGGTACAGTCTGTCACAGCTTCCCTTGGCTAGGAAAGGTAAATCTCCCAACCCCTTGCACTTCCCACATGAGATGACACCCCACCCTGCTTCAGTTCACCCTCTGTGGGCTGCACCTACTCTCCAGCCAGTCCCAGTGAGATGAACCAGGTACCTCAGTTGGAAATGCAGAAATCACTGCTCTTCTGCATTGATCTTGCTGGGAGCTGCAGACCAGAGCTGTTCCTGTTTGGCCATCTTGGAAACAAGCCTCCCTTTTCTGTTTTTGAGAAAATGCTGATGTGACAGAAAAAAGATGTAGTAACAGATTGACTATAGTGGTGGCAGGGATTTGGTGGGGTAGAGGGAGGATGGGAACAGACCCGAGTCAGGTATTGTGGCTCCCTGTTAGAGATGCTGGATATGAAGTGCCTGTTATCCCACAAGGGGAAATGTCCTGATGGCAGTTAATTTAGTTTAGAATGGGGGAGAGAAGTGTGAGTATCCACATTCTTTCATGATGAAAGCTCTCTGCAAATTAGACCTAGAAGAGATATACCTTAAAACAATAAAGGTCATATATGACAAAGCCATAGCTAACATCATACTCAGTGGTAAAAAGTTGAAAGTTTTTCATCTAATATCAGGAACAAGATAAGGATGCCCATTTTCTTTCACCTCTTCTATTCAACATAGTATTGGAAGTCCTAGCCAGAGCAATTAGGCAAGAACAACGAATAAAAGGCATCCTAATGGGAAAGAGAGATGTTAAATTGTTCCTGTTGCAGGTGACATAATCTTATATGTAGATTACTTATAGAAGACCCTAAGGACTCCACCAAAATTTGTTAGAACCAATAGACAAATTCAGTGAAGTTGTGGGATATAAAATCAACATACAAAAATCATAGCATTTCTATACATTAATAACAAATTTTCCAAAAATGAAATCAAGAAAACAATCCCATGTACAATAGCTACAAAAAATAAAATACATAGAAGTAAGTTTAACCAAGGAGGTAAAAGATCTGTATACTGAGAGCTATGAAACATGATGAAGGGAATTGAGGAAGATGCAAATAAATGGAAAGAACATGGATTGGAAGAGTTAATATTATTAAAATGTCCATACTGTCCAAAATGATCCACAGATTCAATGCAATCCCTACCAAAATTCCAATGACATTTTTCACAGAAATAGTAAAATTCCTATGGAACCCCAAAAAGGCCCTGAATAGCCAAAGCAATACTGAATAAAAAAAAAACAAAGCTGGAGGCATCACACTACCTGACTTCAAATATATTGCAAAGCTATAATACTCAAAGCAACCTTTTTATATAAGCGGTAAATGAAACCACAGAAATGAACAAGATAAATCTATACAGGTGGGGGTGAATGTTAAAGGTAAGAAAGAGAATCAGCCTAGAATTGAGTGCCATGGAAACATTTAAGGGATGAAGGAAGGATCCAAATAAAGGGACTTAAAAATGTAGAAAGACAGGAGAGCCAGGAGGAAATGGTATGTATCATTATCGCTGAAGAAGAGATGGTTTCAAGAAGGGGAATGTGGTCCACAGTAGGAAATACTTGAGAGTATTTTATTTATTTATTTTTTTGTTTTATTTATTTTAAAATTATTTTTATTATGTATTTGTTTTTGAGACAGGGTCTCTCTCTGTCACCCAGGCTGGAAAGCAGTGGTGCAGTCTCAGCTAACTGTACCCTTGAACTCCTGGCTCAAGTGATCCTCTCGCCTCAGCCTCCCGAGTAGCTGGGACCACATGAGTATACCACCACACCTGGCTAATTTTGGTATTTTTGGTAGAGATGAGGTTTTGCCTTGTTACCCAGGCTGGTCTCAAACTCCTGAGCCCAAAGCAATCCCTCCACCTTGGCCTCCCTAAGTTTTGGGATTACAGGAGTGAGCCACTCCGCCTGGCTGCCTCAGAATATTTTTACTTGACATAAAACTGTCTTTTGGATTGGACAGTCAGGAGGTCATTAGTAATATTTGTGAGATCGGTTTGAGTGGAGGCTTTCCAACAGAAGCTAGTGAGGATGGCCTAATTAAGTTACGTTGGGTTGAAGAGTGAACATGAAGTGAGGAAGCATAACTAAAATAGCATCATGAGTACAGGGATTAATACCAAAGTTGAACTTAGACTGGACGTTTCAGTACATATGCTCAGATGAATATGACCTTTATACAATACTCTTCCACTTCATTATAAAAGTAATATATGTGCATAGTAATAAAGCTTTATAAAGAATGTAAGAACAGAAAACTCTTACAATCCAACATCCTGTTTATGTCTATTAAGTTTTTTTTTTTTTTTTTTTGAGATGGAGTCTCACTCTGTCGCCCAGGCTGGAGTGCAGTGGTGTGATCTCAGCTCACTGCAACCTTCGCCTCTTGGGTTCAAGAGATTCTCCTACCTTAGCCTCCTGAGTAGCTGGGATTATAGGTTCCCACCACCACACCCAAGTAACTTTTGCATTTTCAGTAGAGACAGGGTTTCACCATCTTGGCCAGGCTGGTCCCAAACTCCTGACCTCAGGTGATCTGCCCACCTTGGCCTCCCAAAGTGTTGGGATTACAGGTGTGAGCCACCACGTCCGGCCATCTTTTACATTTTAGAATGCTCTTCTTTCAGTCTCTTCTTTTCTTCTTAAAAGGAGTCCATTAAGGTAGGAAAACTATTTTGAGTAAATGTATATTGCTTTAAGTAAACATTAAATATATGTCAAAAGAAAATACTACCTTTATATCAGGTTAACAGATGTTTTATCTAAAGATTCAGACAGTAAATGTTTTAGACTTTGAAGGCCATCTGTTCTTTGTCAAAACTAGTTAATCTCTCATAGCATGAAAAGAGCCATGACAATATGTGGGTGAATGGGTGTGGCTGTGTTTCAATAAACCTTTATTTACAAAACAGAGGGTGGGTCAGATCTTGGCTGAGAGTGTCAAGTTTACTGTGTTTTTACGTGTTTCAAAAAGAATAATTTAAAAAACTTCCTCTTTTTTATATTCAGATATTTTTTAGCAGATAATTTTATGATTTATTTGTACGATCAAGGATCCATGAATGCTCGTTCTTCAGATATTCAGGTACGATTTAAATTCTGTGTTTTATAGTTTTTTTAAAAAATGTTTTTTACATTAAATAAATGCTTGAACTAGTTTACAATCCCACCAACAGTGTAAAAGTGTTCCTATTTCTCCACATCCTCTCCAGCACCTGTTGTTTCCTGACTTTTTAATGATTGCCATTCTAACTGGTGTGAGATGGTATCTCATTGTGGTTTTGATTTGCATTTCTCTGATGGCCAGTGATGCTGAACATTTTTTCATGTGTCTGTTGGCTGTATGAATGTCTTCTTTTGAGAAATGTCTGTTCATATCCTTTGCCCACTTTTTGATGGGGTTGTTTGTTTTTTTCTTGTAAATTTGTTTGAGTTCTTTGTAGGTTCTGGATATTAGCCCTTTGTCAGATGAGTAGATTGCAAAAATTTTCTCCCATTCTGTCGGTTGCCTGTTCACTCTGATGGTAGTTTCTTTTGATGTGCAAAAGCTCTTTAGTTTAATGAGATCCCATTTGTCAATTTTGGCTTTTGCTGCTGTTGCTTTTGGTGTTTTAGACATGAAGTCTTTGCCCATGCCTATGTCCTGAATGGTACTACCTAGGTTTTCCTCTAGGATTTTTATGGTATTAGGTCTAACATTTAAGTCTCTAATCCATCTTGAATTAATTTTCGTATAAGGAGTAAGGAAAGGATCCAGTTTCAGCTTTCTACTTATGGCTAGCCAATTTTCCCAGCACCAACAAACCTGCACGTTATGCACATGTACCCTACAACTTAAAGTATAATAATAATAAATAAATTTAAAAAAAAATGCTTTATTATACAGAAGTCTCTCAGGATTCACAGGGGATATATTTAAGGTATTTATTGATTAATGATCAGGCTTTTCCTGAAGTTTTGGTAAAGACAAATTAGATTGACTTAGCACCTTTCACGTGGCCGAGAACATAGTCACTATTTTTTAAATTAATAGATATTTTGTTAAATAAAATATTTATTATTTATTTATTTATATTTTGTTTGTAAGAATATAAATTAATGAGAAATGTGGACACAAATGTTATGAGACACAAATCACAGATCAAAAACTCTTTCTTTTTTTCTTAACTCTTCCTCATCTCATCCATCATTTATACATCCATAAATCCTATTGACCCTGCCCTTCAAACTAAGTGTCCAGCATCCACCTTCTTCCTCTGCCTCCATCCACTGAGACCACCCATTTCCAAGTAAACACCATCTCTAGTTTGGATTATTGCCATAACTTCCTGAATAATCTCCCTGCTTCCTCACCTTGCCCATCCCTTCATTTTATTTATTTATCCCTTTATTTTATTTATTTATTTTTGTATTTATTTATTTATTTGGCCCAGGCTAGAGTACAATGGTGTGATCTTGGCTCGCTGAAACCTCCACCTCCTGGGTTCAAGCGATTCTCCTGCCTCGGCCGCCTGAGTATTTGGGATTATAGGCATGCACCACCACACCCAGCTAATTTTTATATTTTTAGAAGAGATAGGGTTTCACCATGTTGGCTAGGCTTGTCTCGAACCCCTGACCTCATGTGATCTGCCTACCTCAACCTCCCAAAGTGCTAGGAATGCAGGTGTGAGCCACCGTGCCCGGCCTTAGTCAGTTCTCAATATGGTGACCATTTTGATCCTGTTAAGACATAGTCAGATTACCCTGCTTCTCTACTCAGAACCCTCCACGGATGGCCTCCCACCACTCACAGAGTGAAAACCAGAGTCACCTGGTTCCCTTTTACTTCTCTGACCTCGTTTCCTGTTATTTTCTACCTCGTTCACTTTGTTTCAGCCTTGTTGTTCTTCAAATATAACAGCTATGTTCTCCTTTCAAAGACTTCATACTTTCTATTTCCCGGTATCCAAATGCTTGTTGTTTCCCAACAGACCCATATGTTTTTCGTCCTCATTTCCTTCAGGTCTTTACTCAAAATCACCCTATTAGTCCTTGACTAACCCCTACTTTAAATTGGTCTCTTACTCTTAATACCCCATTTCCTTTACCTTTTTTTTTTTTCCCCTTTTCTCATGGCAGTTATCAATACATGATTTATCATATATATTTTATTTATTTACTTTATTTTCTGTCTCCCCAGTGCAATATAATCATCCTGAGGGCAGGGCTTTTGGTCTGTTTTATTCACTGACGTAACACCAGTGCCTAGAAAAGTACCTAGCACATACTTGGAATATAACAAAAATTTGTTGAAATATTAAACTAGATATATTGCTTCACTTACATTGGATGGGATCATCATTTTGTTTTATTGCTCCCTTTTCCTTCCCTTAGTTCCATCTAAGCAGTGTGTTACTGAGAAATCTTAACTTTATTTATAATAAAATTTACAGCACCATTGGGTATTGGAAATTATGTAATTTTCACATCTGTGACAATGTTTGTGACTCTGTGTATCTCTAGCTTGATTGTACTGTGCTGAGAGACCAATTCTGTACAATTTAATTCCTTTGCAATCTGTTGAGTCCTGCTTTATGGCCTGGAGTATGGTTTCTATTTTGTAGATGTTCCATGAGTGTTTAGAAAGCATATATTCTAAAGTTTTTAGGTATAGTATTCTGCATGTATTAACTAGGTCATACTAACCACGTTGTTCAAACCTTTTGTAGATTCTGAACACTTGATCTATCAGTTACTAAGAGAAATTAACTTTAAAGAACTTTTTATAACTGCAAATTTTTAAATTTTTACTATTCTTTCAATTGTGACTTTATATATTTTGAAGCTGTGTTATTAAGTGAATGCCAGTTTGGAATATTTGTGTCTTCCTGGCAAATTGAAATGATTATCATTACCAAATGTCTCTGTTTATCTCTAGTAATGTTTCTGGCCTTAAAGTCCACATTTCCTCTCTTAGTGCAAATTCAGAATCATCCTTTCGGTTTGTGTTGGCATCTAGCCCTTCAATCTTCCTGTGTCATTGTATTTTTATGACTCTTTTTTAGCACCATATTAATTAGGTTTTTAAAGAAATCCAGATTTACCATCTTTGTCTTTTAATTGAGGACCTAAATTTATATACTGGGAGATATTTTTACCTAAAGCATGAGACAACACTTTGGAAGCAGGGTGTAAAATAGTAATCTCAAGTCATAATCTATTATAAAGTGTAGTTAATATAGTGTAAGTGGCAATTATGGGGAGAATTTTTTTCTGAATGTCACTTTGCTTGTACTGATAAAAATCATGGAGCCTGTGAAAAATATTCAGACGGTTCTATCAAGTATAGAAGTAGGAAGTCACTAGAAAGTTTTGTCACTTCCTAAGTAACTACTTTACTTTTTTCTTCCTAGACTCAATGCTACTATCAAGGAAATATTGAAGGATATCCAGATTCCATGGTCACACTCAGCACGTGCTCTGGACTGAGGTTGTTTTCAATTGTTGATTACAAAACACCGTAGTTATGATATTTGGCTGCAATGAATTTGTTCTCTTTGTATTAAGTGTGGGGCTGAAGGAGGATTCCTATGTGGACATTATTTAATGATATCCCCCTCTGAACATGTTTCCTATTCTCTTAATTCTCCTCACTTTCCTCACCGATCAGAAACATTTCTAACCTTTCCAGTGGTTTAGATTTCCTAGTCTCCTTGCTCTATGTCTTATGTTTCCTTGACTACAGAAAAGACCATTGAACGTGTTTGACTACAAGTGTTGGAGAAGCTAGGTTTAGGACAGCTCAGTCACTGTCTTGGAAAACAGGGAAATTAATCACTGTAATGCTGTATGCTTGCACACTTAGCAGTTGTGTAGGTAATTTCTGTTGCTTTTATAACTACAAAGAAGTGAAATGGAGAGTTGGTTTTGCAGATTAGGGTAATCTTTTGTCTTCTCAGAGTCATCTCTAAGACAGGTTTGGGTCAAAATACTGGACTGAAAATGTACTTATGTTATCCACCATGTATTTTAGTGTTGGAGATATAGAGATAAACAAGAGATGCTTTTTCTCAAGGAAATCATCTTCTGACTGAGGAGGCAAATTATATATAAACAATTTTTAATACTCATAAAAATACTCATTTTTCTAATGATATTAATTATCTTGAGCTCTTCAAGAATTATTGGGTTTCCTCCTTAGGGCTTAGGGAGTTTTCCATTCTGTCAGGAAATTTTCCACCTTCATTTTGTAGCGTAGGATGCTTGTTTTCACAACTGTGCTTCTTCAGTGCTTCCTACACAGAACCCTGAAATTTGGATCTGAAATCTGTTTTTTAGGGAGTAGTGACTTGGGCTGTTACCTGTATTCAGAGAAAAATAGTGATACAAGTCATTTACTCTTTAAAATCTTGCTTTTAATTTCTTATTCAAGTGTATATAAGCAAAAGTAGTAAATATTTCATAATTCTGCCAAATTTTATTTTTAAAAGTAAAGTGTCTCACTGTATATATTTGTCATATATGCAGTATAATCATTTTTCAAAAGCATGGCAAACCAGAGAGAGAGTCATCATGATTTCTGTTTACAATAGTTTTAATTGAGATACTGACTTGGAAAACAATAGACTTATTCAATTACTGTTATGCTATGTACTGTGTAACTAGCAATTGATTAAGTAACTTCTGCTGCTCTTACAGCTATACAGAAATGAAATAAAAAATGTGTTTTGTGGATTAGGGAAATCTTTTGTCTCTTCAGAGTCATTTCTAAGATGGAATTCAGATCAAAATACTGTACTCAAAGTGTTTTACTTTTTTTCTTTTGGATTTTGTCAGAAATCCATTATATAGATTTGATTAAAAGCACTTAAAATTGTATTTATAATTTCACAGAGGAATACTGCAATTTGAAAATGTTTCTTATGCAATTGAGCCTCTGGAATCTGCAGTTGAATTTCAGCATGTTCTTTACAAATTAGAGAATGAAGACAATGATATTGCAATTTTTAGTGAAAATAACAGAAGCCTGGAAGAACACCCAATGGATGACAACATTTCTATAAGTGAACAAGTGAGTTGTGTATGTTTTGTTACTACTTTTAAAGCAGTTATTACTTCCATTTAATTTATTTTAAAAATAGATTTATGAGCCCACTGTACAATTGTAGTAAATATCCTTTCCTTGTGAACATCTTATCTTTTTTTTTTTTTTTCTCACTCTGTCAGTCAGGTTGGAGTGCAGTGGACAGATCATGGCTTGCTGCAACCTCTGCCTTCCGGGCTCAAGCAATCCTCCCACCTCGATCTCCTGAGTAGCTGCGACCACAGACATGCACCACCACACCAGACTAATTTTTTGTAGAGACAGAGTCTCACCATGTTACCATGCTGGTCTCAAACTCCTAGGTTCAAATGATCCATCCACCTCAATCTCCCAAAATGTTGAGATTACAGGTGTGAGCCACCGTGCCTGGCTGTTCATCTTTCTGTTACCTAACAATTTCCTTGAAACCGTACATCGCCTTTTTCTCATTGCACCAATCTACCATTTACTTTTTATGATCCACTTTATTTTAGTTCTTATTTTGTTTGTTATATTCTTATTACTTTCCAAAAATTCCCTCTTGTATATGCAATATAAACTTTAAAAACTCAGTCCCTGCTTTTGCTTCTACATTTCTGGAAGTTACTCAATCAAGTCAATAATTTTAAAGGTTATATTCATGACCAATGAGTCAGCATTAATTAAATCATGGATATAATTAAAATGTCATAAGCAGAATTGCTGATTATGGTCATGTAAATTGTTCAGTGAACACACTATGTAACTGCATGTGTTGGTGCTTACAAAAGCAATTGTGAAAGAGAAAATTTTTATGCCAAGTAACATTGGCATCAGTATGCATAGTTTATACAAGAGTGTGTGGCAGTATTCATTATTTCCAGTATATACTGTCCCTGTTTTCTGTCAGTAAAGAAAAAAACACCAGGCCAGGCGTAGTGGCTCATGCCTGTAATCCCAGCACTTTGGGAACCCAAGGTGGGCAGATCACCTGAGGTCAGGAGTTCAAGACCAGCCTTGCCAACGTGGTGAAACCCCATCTCCACTAAAAATACAAAACTTAGTCAGGTGTGGTGGCAGACGCCTGTAATCCCAACTACTCGGGAGGCTGAGGCCGAAGAATTGCTTGAAACTGGGAGATGGAGGTTGCAGTGAGCCGAGATCACACCACTGCACTCCAGCCTGGGTGAGGGCAAGACTCCATCTCAAAAAAACAAAAAACAAACAACAACAACGACAAACACCAAACCTCAGAATTTAGCTGGGCATATAAACGAAGACTGTATTTCTCAACCTCCCTTGCCTCTTAGGTAGGGCAATATGACAAAATTATGGCCAGTGACATGCGAGCAAGCATAATATGTGTTACTTCTGGCTTGAATGTTAAAAGGAGGGGTTTTATCTTCTTTTTCTTTTCTACTGGCTGGAGTGTGGACGTATTGACATATTATGGTCCACAAGGATGAGGCTGATGCCATACAGGTAGCAGAGAAACAAGGTGAAATGAGCCTTGCTTTTGAAGAATTTTCAGAATGGAACTACCATACCTCTTCACAAATTTACGTGAGAGAGAAATAGACTCTAAGTTTGTTTAATTCACTATTATTTTCTGTCTCTGTGTGGATGGCAGTCCTAAATCTTAAATAATACAGGGTCCAAATGAGAGTGCAGCGCCAGAGTTTTCAGTGCTAGCAAATACATGTGTATAATTTCAAATAATGTTTGTGAACTAGATGCTGAACTTTTTTTTCTTGCCTTGTAAAAATTTCTAATTTGCAATGACTGAGATGACCCAGCGTAGTGAACAATGTCAGTGCCCTGCCCAGATCCCCTCACATTCCTCTAGTATATTTTTGTGGACGTGGTACAGGAGGGTGGGACACCCTGTCTTTGTTTATGCCTTTGCTTTGAACATGTGCCACTTGTAACTCTTTTTTTGTGGGCTGCCCTTTAGCTAACTGAAACTGCTTTGCCCAGATGGCAAGGTAAACATAACTGCTAGAGATTTACATTTCCCCAGGGTGGTCCTTAGCCAGCACCTCACCAGTGTGGGAAAGGGTGAGCTCAGTTTCTTGTTACAGGTCAGGACCACTCTGTAGCACAACTTACACACCAGATTTTCTCTGTGGGACTGTGTCTGAGAGCACACTCTTTGTGTGGATTCCTCCTGATCCTAATACTGCTTCTCCCACTCATTAACTGGTCTCTCCCGGGAGAACTTTCTTAGTAAATTATCTACGTATAAATCCTGTCTCAGATTTATCTTTGGGTTTCCTTTGAACACCAGGAAGTTTTCACATATTTATTTTATAGTGAAGTGATAATTACTACAATAAAGTAATTTGAGCACATATGTCAGCCAAATTGCATTTGTATCATTTGGAAAGTGGCATGATCTGGAAAGTGGGGAAGCTTTGGATTCCCACAGATATCATCGTTTGTCTGGACAAGTGTTGAAGGAAAGAAAAACAGCCAAATGAAAGACAGACAGAAAGTTCCTCATATATATGTATATGTATGTATGTGTGTGTGTGTGTGTGTATATATATATACACACATATAATTATACTTTAAGTTCTTGGGTACACGTGCAGAATGTGCAGGTTTGTTACATAGGTATACACGTGCCATGGTGGTTTGCTGCACCCATCAACCCATCATCTACATTAGGTATTTCTCCTAATGCTATCCCTTCCCCACCCCTGACCCCCTTGACAGGCCCCAGTATGTGATATTCTCCTACCTGTGTCCGTGTATTCTCATTGTTCATCTCCCACTTGTGAGTGAGAACATGTGGTCTTTGGTTTTCTGTTCTTATGTTAGTTTGCTGAGGATGATGGTTTCCAGCTTTATCAATGTCCTTGCAAAGGACATGAACTCATCCTTTTTTATGGCTGCATAATATTCCATGGTGTATATGTGCCACATTTTCTTTATCCAGTCTATCATTGATGGACATTTGGGTTGGTTCCAAGTCTTTGCTATTGTGAACAGTGCTGCAATAAACATATGTGTACATGTGTCTTTACAGTAGAATGTTTTTTAATCCTTTGGGTATATGCTCAGTAATGGGATTGCTGGGTCAAATGGTATTTTTGGTTCTAGATCCTTGAGGAATTGCCACCCTGTCTTCCACAATGGTTGAACTAATTTACTCTCCCACCAACAGTGTAAAAGCCTTCCTATTTCTCCACATCCTCTCCAGCATCTGCTGTTTCCTGACTTTTTAATGATTACCATTCTAACTGGCATAAGATGGTATCTCATTGTGGTTTTGATTTGCATTTCTCTTAATGACCAGTGATGATGAGGTTTTTTTTTTTCATATGTTTGTTGGCTGCATAAATATCTTCTTTTGAGAAGTGTCTGTTCAAACTCTTCACCCACTTTTTGATGTGTTTTTTTTTTTTTCTTGTAAATTTGTTTAAGTTCTTTGTAGATTCTGGATATTAGCCCTTTGTCAGATGGGTAGATTGCAAAGATTTTCTCCCATTCTGATTATCTCAATATATGCAGAAAAGGCCTTTGATGAAATTCAACACTGCTTCATGCTAAAAGCTTTCAATAAACTAGGTATTGATGGAATGTATCTCAAAATAATAAGAGCTAGTTATGACAAACTCACAGCCAATATCATAATGAATGGGTAAAAACTGGAAACATTGCCTTTGAAAACCAGCACAAGACAAGGATGCCCTCTGGCATCACTTCTATTCAATATAGTATTGGAAATTCTAGCTAGGGCAATCAGACAAGAGAAATAAATAAATCGTTTTCCAATAGGAAGAGAGGAAATCAAATTGTCCTCATATGTTTTCTTAGTTACTGCATGTCATTGTGATTTATGATAATCTGTGTCAAGAATTTCAATAGCCTGGATGGATGCATAGAGCAAAGTGGCAATAATGGTAGCAACAGAGGCAGTAGAGCTCTACCTTTGTGTGACAATAGCATTACATTGACAGAGGCCAAACATGTGAGGCTTCCTGAACTGAGAGACTCAAGATGTAGTTGCTTATACCAGTAGAAGAGTCAATGGATGGATTAATTTCTGAAGTAGTAGGGTTTTCCTTGATGTGCAGAAGCAGGATGACACGATAAATATAAAGAGCAGTGTGGCAGTAGATTCAGGAAAAGAGATGTCTAAGCCATACAGAGCACCAGTTGTAGATCTTGACTCACTGGAACCTCTGCATCCTGGGCTCAATAAAGACTTAATTTGACATTTGCGAATTGTTTTCTATATGTCTTATATCTTTTTTTTGTCTCAGTTTCTCTATTACTGCCTTCTTTTGTTTAGTTGATTTTTTTTCTAGTATGTCATTTTGATTCCCTTCTCATTTATGTTTCTTGATGTAATTTTGGTTACTTTCTTAGTGGTTTCTCTGGATATTACAATAACATCTTAAATTTATAACAATCATAGTTTGAATTAATACCAACTTAGCCTCTATAGTATACAAAATGCTGTTTCTATACAGCTTTGTCTTCTTTATGTTTTTATTATCACAAATTATCTAATACATTAAGCTATGTTAATGATAATACAATGTACAATAGCTTAATAAGTATTGTGTGATACATTTTCTTTTAAATAATTTGGGGAAAAGTGAGGAACAACAAACCAAAAATATAATAATCATATCTTTTTTTTTTTTTTGAGGCAGGGTCTCACTCTGTCATCCAGGCTGGAGTGCAGTGCTGGTGCTGTGATCATGGCTTACTGCATGCATCCTTTACCTCCTAAGCACAGGTGATCTTCCTGCCTCTGCCTCCTAATTAGCTGGGACCACAGGCATGTGCCACCATGCCCAGCTAATTTGTTTATTTGTAGAGACTCTGTCTTCCTTTGTTGCCCAGGCTAGTCTCAAACTCCTGGACTCAAGCAGTCCTCCCATTTTGGCCTTCCAGAGTGTCAGGAGTGTAAGTGTGAGCCACTGCACCCAGCAATAATAATATCTTCTATAGTTACCAATGTATTTACCTTTACTGTGTTTTAAATTTCTTTTATTGCTTCTTGTTACTGTTTTGTGTGCTTTCATTTTAAACTGAAGGACTAACTTTGGCATTTCTTGTAGGGCAGTGTATTAGTTTACTACAGCTGCCATAACTTTACCATGGACTGGGTAGCTTAAACAACAAGAATATGTATTTTTTCACAGTTCTGGAGCCTAGAAGTTTGAGATCAAGGTGTTAACCAAGTTGTGGTTTCTTCTGAGGCCCCTCTGCTTGGCATATAAGTAACCGTCCTCTCCCTGTGTCTGCACAAGGTCTTCCTTCTGTGTTTGTGTTCTAATTTTCTCTTACAAGGATACCAGTTACATTGCATCAGAGCCCATCCTAATGACCTAATTTTCAATCTGATTACCTCTTTACAGGCCCTGTCTCCAAATACAGCTTCATTCTGTGATATAATGGGGTTAGACCTTTAACATATGAATTTTACTGGGATACCATTTGGCCTGTAATAAGCAGGCAGGTCTACTAGCAATGAGCTTTTTCAGTTTTTATTTATCTGGGAATGTCTTAATTTCTCCTTTATTTTTGAAGGATAGTTTTGTCAGATATAGAATTCTTGTTTGACAGTTTTTTTCCCCTCCAGCACTTTAAATGTCATCCCACTGCCTCTGGCCTCCCTGGTTTCTAATGAGAAATTAGATATTAATATTATTGAAGATCTCTCATTTGTGAGGAATTGCTTTTCTCTTGCTGTTTTCAAGGTTCTCTTTTTATCATTAACTTTGGACAACTTGATTATAATATGTTTTGGTGTGAATTCTTTTGAGTTTATTCTACTTGGAGTTTGTTAAGCCTTTTGGATGTGTAGATTCATGTCTTTCATAAAATTGGGGAGGTTTTTACCCATTACTTTTTAAAATTTTCTTTCTGTCCCTTTCTTCTCTTCTGCTAGGAACTCTTCTTATATATGTGCTTGATGGTGTCCCATAGGTCTCTTAGGCTCTGTTCATTTTTCTTCACTCTTTTTTTTCAGTGTCAGATAACTTCTATTGAGATCTCATCAGCTGCACAATCTGTTCCAGGCATTAAGCTCCTTCTTCCTTTGCAATCTGGTCTTTCTTGAGTGGTCCCATGAATGCTTCTTTTCCATGGTTTGGAAGTGGTCATGGCCAAATTTAAAGGTAGTCTCAATGAACTTAACATCAGTCTTCTCCAGAGCCCACTGCTTGGTCTGCATCAAGACTTGTGGAGGATGAGCCCTTGCTTCTTAGTTCCCACCACACAGCCCTTCAGCATGACAAAGTCATTGGTCACTTCACCATAGTGGACAAAGCCACCCAGAGGGTTGATGCTCTTGTCAGACAGGTCATAGTCAGTGGAGGCATTGATCAATTTGCCATCCTTGATGAAGTAGCCCTGACTGATCTTATAGATCTTCTTGTTGAACTCAGTGCAATGATGGTAGCCTTTCTGCCCAGTACATGCCACAGAGAAGGTCATATGGGCAGGATGCCATGCCCCAATATAGGCAACCTTGCACAGCCCTCAGTGGGTCTTGTAGGGCAGTTTGTTGGTATACCAGTGACTGGTGACTTCTTTGTAGCCTTTGCCCTTGGTCACCCATTTGATGTCAATCATCTTGTCCTGCCCAAACACTTGTTTCACAGGTACCTGGTCCTCTAGCCTCTCCAGGGACCAGTCCAGTTTCTCGGCCACAGTGCCTCTGTTCACCTGGATCTCCATCACATGGGTCTTCTTCTGACATAAAGGAAGCAGGTGCATCTGGGTGTAGGTATTGATGCGGATGACTTGGCCGTACTTCTTTATGCTGTTGAAGTCCTTCTCCAGCTGCTTCTTGTCATCCTCACCCTGCTATTTCTTGCAGTACTTGGTAAAGGCCTTCTACTTAGCTTTATGCCAGTTCCTATAGAAGCGCCTTTTGCACTCATTGCTAATGTGCTCAACAAAGATGGTCTTAGAAATTCAGAGGCCTTGAGGGGTTTCCATATAGCCCAGGATGCCTACAACCACTATGGGCAGTGTCTCCACAATGGTCACAACCTCTACCACTTCCTTCCTGTTCACCTTGGGTCCTAGCCGGTCAGCTTTCCACACAATGTGTCATGCCAGCCTTGTATCCCGTGAAAGCTTTGAGGTGGACCAATTTAGAAGGGTCATCACTGGGGAAGCTCTTCACCTTACCATGATGCCTACTGCTGTGTTTCCAAGGCAGGAAGCCCAGGGACCCATGTCTTGGAGCAAAGGATTTCCTGTAAGACATCATGCCATCAAATTCTGCTGGTAGAGCTTTATTCTTTTTTTAATTGTGCTCCTCATGTTGAATAATCTTGATTGATTTGTTTTGAAGTTTGTTGATTCTTTTTTTCTGCTTGCTCAACTATGTTATTGAATCCTAGTGAATTTTCATGTATTTTACTTTTCAGCTCCACAACTTCCTTTTTATAATTTCTGTATTTTTATGGATACTCTCTATTTGGTGAAGTATCATTCTTCTGCTTTCCTTTAGGTTTTTTACATAGTTTTTCATAGCTTTTTGAACGTATTTTAACATAATTAATTTACCTTCTTTGTCTAGTAAGTACAATGTCTGGGCTTCCAGAGGTACCATTTCTATTTCTAATTTTCTGAGAATGGGCCATACTACTTTCTTGTTGTTGTTGAAATTTGAACATTTTGAGTATTTTGATGTGGTAATGCTGGAAATCAGATTCTTCCTCACTCACCGGCAAGGTCTGTTGTTACTGCTTGCTGTGGGTTGTAGTTGTTTGCTTGTTTACTGACTTTTCTAAAGTAAAGAAATATTTTGTGAACAATATTGTCTAGTAGTCACCTAGTGATTTGATAGAGATTTCTTTAAATTACTGGAGCCGAAAAAGAAAAAAGACTTCCTTGGTTTTTACAGATTGACTCTGGGTTTTGATATACATGCAACACTTATTCCAGATGTTGACAACTAACCCTTGGCCTTGACTCTTGCTTGTACAATGTCTGAAAGCCAGGCAGAGGAGAAAGCTTAGTGTCAAGTCTTTTCTGAGTGTGTGTCCAGCCTTGGGCATGTGGGTGGCCCTCTAGATTTCCCAGTATATGCCTGAGGTTTTCAAAGCCTTCATTTCTCCACCCATTTCCTTACCCAGCCACTTTCTTCCTAGACTTTTTAGTGTGCCTTCTGCTTTTCTTGTCCATTTTTCCTTGCTCCAAGGGCTCTGGCCAGTATATTTGCCTTGAAATGCTTTTTATAAACACTACCTTGGAGTCCACTCCAACCCTGTGAAATTTCATGGTGGAGGAAACAAAGGAAAGCTTGTGAGCAAAACTGTTAGGGAGCCACTGGACAGCTCAAAACACATAACCATAATTCTTTGAGAACAAATTTGGTATTTCTTCCTCTGGCATGGGAAAGCCACACCAGGAACATGGGCCTCTATCTTCCTGGATGCCAATGAGCTGGATGTGTGAGATGGGATGGTAGGTGGGTCAGTTCAAGGACCACAATACTCTCTTATAGAAACCCAGCAGCCTTTTTCCCCCTCAAGCATTGTCTAGTTTTTTATTTGTATGTTTTTCTGGGGCAATGGTGTGAATAGGCCATTTGCTCTTATCATCCGGCAGGCTGGTCAGATGTGTACAGGCAGGGGTTCCAAGATCAGGAATGGCAGTATGAAAGGTGACTTAGGCTCAAGATTGGCAAAACAACACTTCTATTGCCTTTATTGACTCAAGCAAGTTACAAAGCCCAGCCCAGATTGAGAGAGAGGAAAAATAAACTCACCTCTTGATGGGAGGCACTGAAAAGTCATATTGCAAAGGACATGAATACAGAAAGGAGCGTGGTGGCTCACACCTGTAATTCCAGCACTTTGGGAGGCCGAGGCGGGCAGATTGCGAGGTCAGGAGATTGAGACCATCCTGGTTAACATGGTGAAACCCGTCTCTACTACAAATACAAAAAAATTTAGCCGGGTGTGGTGACAGGTGCCTGTAGTCCCAGCTACTCAGGAGGCTGAGGCAGGAGAATGGCGTGAGCCCAGGAGGCAGAGCTTGCAGTGAGCTGAGATTGCACCACTGCACTCCAGCCTGGGTGAAGAGGCGAGACCCCCTCTCAAAAAAAAAAAAAAAAAAAAACCTCAACACACATATAGTTTTTAAAGCAAAAGTTTACTTCTGATATGCAGATGAAGTAGATGGAAATGCTAGGTGTTTTTTCTTAGTTCATAAACTGGAAGTTGTAAATATATTGAGATAGATGTTATAACTTCATGGGCAATCTTCTAACTACTTGAGTACGTTGCCATAAAACTTAAAACTTTATTTATTGATTTTAACCAACTTGATAAAGCAAACACCTCTGCATATCTTGTAAGTGCTGTGGTAATAGCTTTAAAGAAGAGTTCAAGTAAAAAAATTAGGAAATTTTTCATGTATTATATGCGGTTTTCCTTTTTTCTAGTCAGAACCAGCTGTTCCAGTTTTATTTCCTCTTTATCTAGAAATGCATATCGTGGTGGACAAAGCTTTGGTATGTGTTTTGATTTTTCTTTGCTTTGAAATATTTGCTCCAAATGTGTGATTATCCCTAGCTAGCTAGACAGAAACTAAAAGATTCCAATGTTCTTACTCACATGTCATAGAGACAATAGTGGAAAAATGTACAAACTGAGAAACTAAATAGTCAAAATAATACTAGTTTTGTCAGAAATGTTTTATTTGAAATACTTACATAAGAGTACTGCAGAACAAAATGTATTTTTTTTCCCTGGCACTTCACATTTCTAGAGTCCCTCTCAATCCATACTACCTTTTAATGGTGATTTTGGTAGAAGTGAAATTCTATTTTAGGGAAGTTTGAAGAGCAGAATGTAGTCTAGGGAACATTCCACCGTAGAATATTTACTGGGACAAAAGTGATGATAGTATAACTATCTATTAGAATGACTTTCACTAATGAGTCAAGATGTTTTTTAGCAGTTTTTGGTGGGGCGCCCATTCTAGTCCATCGTTTACCTGATGAAAAGAGTACCTCAAGATTCTTAATTTCCATAAACAGTCTGAGGCCTCTGAATTTCAGAACCTTGGGGTGATAACTTAGTTTGCGGTCAACTAGATATGTCTTTATTTCTTCTAATAGTTGAAAGATTTCAGAAAATAGAGATTAAAAATATACTTTCTAGGTTTTATTCTGATGATAAGCAGCTGTTTGTGTATACCTACGGAACACAACAGTGGGTATGACTAGTCCTCATCGGCAATTTCTATTCCTAGGGTTTAGAGCTTGTCAGGAAGCCAGAGTTAAGGTCAGGGACCAGGAGGGATTTGGAGAAAGATGTGAAAATAACTTGATTTATTAGAGTACAGGGAAAAGGGCAAAGGGAACATTTAAGAGAACGTTGAGACATTGAGATAGCTGAGAGAAAATTGAGGTGTTTCTGGTAAACACAACTAAGTTTCCAGGAAATATTTTGGATTATGAAAATTCTTCTGTTTTTGGATTATGTTATATATTTTGGGAGTAGTTTCAAAAGCTTGTCCAAATTGCCAGGTTTTCAAGTCATATAATGCTGATTAAATATTACTACTTTAAGTTCTTATACATGTTTACATTTCTTTAATAAAAAAACCCCTTGGTTAGGGCGTGGTATATGCCTGTAATCCCAGTACTTTGGGAAGCTGAGTTGGGTGGATCACCTGAGGTCAGGAGTTTGAGACCAGCCTGGCCAACATGGTGAAGCCTCATTTCTGCTAAAACTACAAAAATTAGCCAGGCATGGTGGTGCACACCTGTAGTCCCAGCTACTCAGGAGACTGAGTCAGGAGAACTGCTTGAACAAGGGAGGTGGAGGTTGCAGTGAGCCGAGATCGCATCACTGCTCTCCAGCCTGGGTGACAGAGGAAGACTCCATGTCAAAAACAAACAAACAAACAAACAAACGAACAAACAATCATAGTATTCATAGTTCCTTCAGTGACTTTATAATTTGTAAATCTATAATTATGGCATCGTGAATTCATTGCCATGATTGTAGAAAGCATATGGTTCTATATATACACAGTTTAATAATGGAGACAGACATGGAAACACAACTGTAAGTTGTTATACTATAAGAACATCCAAGTAGGTGTTTTAAAATGTAGGTTTTATTATTACTCAGGTATATTGAAGCCAACAGATCAGGAGATGGTTGCTATTGAAAAGACAGTCTGTTTAACTGTACATAGTACATACTCAGTTTCCAATGGTAGGGGACACTCTCCATCATTCAGGGCCCACAAAGGGAAGTACTGAGGTCAGTAAGGAGGGAAGGTGTCATTGAAATATTTTAAATAGGGGAGTGACATATTTCTATTTTACCTTAGAGTAATCATTTTGGTAATGGTGTAGGGACCAGATTGCTGGTGGGAAAATTGAGGGGGAGGAATCATTTAAGAGATTATTTTAATAATCAGGGTGAAAACTTATAAATAGGTGGCATCAAGAATAAAAATAAAGGAACAACTTTAAAAGTTACTGATTGGGTTGAACTAGAAGAACTTGATTTGATTGATTTATTCGTTTACTTAGCAAATTCACTGAGCATCATCTAGATAACAGTTGCTGTTCTAGCCGTTGGGAATATAGCAGTGAATACAACAGAACAATTTCCGCTCTCATGGAGCATATAGTGTAATAAATGTAGGATGTGTTAGATAATAATACCATTCACTAAAGTAGTGAAAATATAAGTAGGAACAGATTTTTGAAGGAAGATGATGAGTTTAGTTTTGAATATATTTATTTTAGTTTTGGATATGAGTTTACTTTGGGATAATTTGAGGCTCCTGTGGAACATCCAAAGTGATGTACTGTAGAGAGTTTGTCTATGGATATGTGCAGTTTGATGTAGTTGCAATCCAGTTTTTCAGATTTCAAGAGCGACGTATATGTATGTATACATACACACACTCATTTGTGTGTGTGCATGTGTGTGCAGTTTTATGCAATGGTATTACATAAGTAGCCTTCCATAACCATTGCCACAATCGAGATACTCAACAGTACCATCACCACAGGAGTCTCCTATGTGATCCCATTAGAGCCACACCAATCCCCTGCCCTCTTCTGAGCCCTTGGGGGTCCACTAAGCCATTCTCCTTCTTTGTGATTTCACACATATTGCATAAAGTTATCAAGCAGTCTGTATCCCTTTGAGATTATGTTTTCATGCTGAGCATAATTTTCTTGAAGTTTATCCAGGCAGTTCCATATATCAACATTTGTTTCTTTTTATTGCTGAGTTTATGGTAGGAATGTACCACAGTTTATTTAACCATTTAACCATTGAAGGACATATGAGTTGTTTCTAGTTTTTAGCTATTATGAATAAAGCTGTTATGGACATTCATGTACAAGTATTTGTGTGAGCATCAGTTTTTTGAGATAAATGCTCAGAAGTGAGATTGCTGAGCCATATAGTAAATCCATTCTTTGTTTTGATTTCAAAGAAGTTGAAGTTACCAAACTCTTTTCCAGAGTGGCTGTACCGTTTTACATTCCCACCAGCAATGCCTGAGGGATCCAGTTTATATTCATTTTTCACTTATTAATGTTTTGTTTTGAACTGTTGAACCCCAAAGCAGCCTCATACCTCTGACAGTAGATGGAAATGAATCTTAAAAATACTATATAATAAATTGTACTTAAGCATAAAATTAATTCTGTTTTTCAGTATGATTACTGGGGCTCTGATAGCATGATAGTGACAAATAAAGTCATTGAAATTGTTGGCCTTGCAAATTCAGTAAGTATTTTTCTTTTCATATTAAAATAATTTTTGTTTTGAAATGATAATTTGCCTAAACTTGATATGGTATTCCTGGATAATTAACCCATCCATATAAACTGAGTATGGGATTGTAAAAACATTGAATTAATTTCTGGGTTTTTATAAGATAACATAAATAGTAATTATGCATGTATTTATCTCTTCTGTTTTTAGATGTTTGCCCAATTTAAAGTTACTATTGTGCTGTCATCATTGGAGGTTTGGTCAGATGAAAATAAGATTTCTACAGTTGGTGAGGCAGATGAGTTATTGAAAAGATTTTTAGAATGGAAACAATCTTATCTTAACCTAAGGCCTCATGATATTGCATATCTACTAATGTAAGAATAATGTTTCATTATTCCTAGAAAGAAAACAAAGATTTGTGATAATTATGTGGCTTAATGTAAGGAATTATTATTCATTTCTGAATATCCATGCTTTGATTATTTAGTATGTGCTTTATTCAGGCTTTATGCTCAATTTCTAGTTGTCAGGCAATAAAAAAACATTACTAACATTTATTTCTAGGCTAATAAAGCTTTTATAAATGAAGACACTGAGAGTTCCAAGAGGTTAAGCCATCTCAAAACTCTTGGATCTGGTGATACTCCTAAGGTTTGAACTCACAGTTTGTATCTCTAGAGCCAAAATGCTTAACCACTACTTAAAGAGATGGGATTTATCTTGAGAGGTTTATATTCTTGTATGAGCTTTGACCAAAGGCTTGGTAAATGTGGTTACAAAAGTTTTATCCTAATGAATTTTCTGAGTAATTTTAAAATGTTAGTTTTCTAATTATAAATTATAGCTATATATTTATAATTGTAATCATATTAAATTTATTAGTAGTAACCAGCAAGTGTCTTTCAATAAAACTATACATGTCTATATATGTATTTAAGTTTAGTATGTCAGTATTTTCTTTCGCTTGTGTGAGACTAATCTTTCCCTCACATCTCGGCCAGCCATAAATGTTATTCCTCTTTTAACTTTTGGTAGTCTGATGGATGTAACTTAAGGTCATTGTCGTTGTTTTAATTTGCTTCTTTTCTGATGACTGGTGGATTTGAGCATCTTTTCAAATGCTTGTCAATCATTTGTATCTGTCCTTCTGTAATCGTCTTTTCTTGTCGTTTGATTACTTCCCTATAATTTGTAAGGGCTTTAAAAAATAATTTCATTATCTTTAATATTTATATTTTTCCCCATAAGTTATTGGGGTACAGGTGATATCTGGTTACACGAGTAAGTTATTTAGTGGTGATTTGTGAGATTTTGGTACACCCATCACCTGAGAGCATACACGGTATACACTGCACCATATTTGTAGTCTTTTATCCCTCGCCCCACCTCCCACTCTTCCCCGCAAGTCCCCACAGTCCATTGTATCATTCCTTTTTTTTTTTTTTTGGAGACGGAGTCTCGCTCTGTCGCCTAGGCTGGAGTGCAGTGGCGCGATCTCGGCTCACTGCAAGCTCCGCCTCCTGGGTTCATGCCATTCTCCTGCCTCAGCCTCCCGAGTAGCTGGCCCCCGCCACCTGTATCATTCTTATGCCTTTGCCTCATAGCGTAGCTCCCACATTTTGGGGAGAACATACGATGTTTGGTTTTCCATTCCTGAATTACTTCACTTAGAATAATAGTCTCCAATCTCATCCAGGTCGCTACAAATGCTGCTAATTCATTCCTTTATATGGCTGAGTAGTATTCATATATATATATATATGAATATATATATAATGCTGCAGTTTCTTTATCCGCTCGTTAATTGATGGGCCTTTGGGTTGGTTCCATGATTTTGCAGTTGTGAATTGTGCTGCTATAAACATGCATGTGTAAGTATCTTTTTCAAAAAATGACTTCTTTTTCTCTGGGTATATACCCAGTAGTGGGATTGCTGGATCAAATGGTAGTTCTACTTTTAGATCTTTAAGGAATCTTCACTCTGTTTTCCATAGTGGCTGTACTAGTTTATATTCCTACCAGCAGTGTAGAAATGTTCCCTGATCACTGCATCCACACCAACATCCACTGTTTTTTTGATTTTTTGATTATGGCCTTTATTGCAGGAATAAGGTGGTTTTGCATTATGGTTTTAATTTGCATTTCCCTGCTCATTAGAGATGTTGAGCATTTTTTTCATAAGTTTGTTGGCCATTTGCATATCTTCTTTTGAGAATTGTCTATTTATGTCCTTAGCCCACGTTTTGATGGGATTGTTTGTTTTTGTCTTACTGATTTGTTTGAGTTCATTGTAGGTTCTGGATGTTAGTCCTTTGTCAGATGTATAAATTGGGAAGATTTTCTCCCACTCTGTGGGTTTTCTGTTTACTCTGCTGACTATTCCTTTTGCTGTGCAAAAGCTCTTTAGTTTAATTAAGTCCCAATTATTTATCTTTGTTTTTATTTCATTTGCTTTTGGGTTCTTTGTCATGAAATTCTTGCCTAAGCCAATGTCTAGAAGGGGTTTTCCAATGTTATCTTGTAGAATTTTTAGTTTCAGGTCTTAGGTTTAAGTCCTTAATCCATCTTGAGTTGATTTTTGTATAAGGTGAGAAATGAGGATCCGGTTTCATTCTCCTGCATGTGGCTAGCCAATTATCCCAGCACCATTTTTTTGAGTAGGGTGTCTTCTCCCCACTTTATGTTTTTGTTTGCTTTGTTGAAGATCAGTTGGCTGTAAGTATTTGGGTTTGTTTCTAGGTTCTCTATTCTGTTCCATTGATCTATGTGCCTATTTTTATACCAGTACCATGCTATTTTGGTGACTATGGCCTTATAGTATGGTTTGAAATCAGTTAGTGTGATGACTCCAGATTTGTTCTTTTTGCTTAGTTTTGCTTTGGCTATGTTGGCTCTTTTTAGGTTCCATATGAATTTTAGAATTGTTTTTTTCTAATTCTGTGAAGAATGATGGTGGTATTTTGATGGATTTGAATTGAATTTATAGATTGCTTTTGGCAATATGATCATTTTCACAATACTGATTCTACCCATCCATGAGCATGGGATGTGTTTCCATTTGTTTGTGTCATCTATGATTTCTTTCAGCAGTGTTTTGTAGTTTTCCTTGTAGAGATCTTTCTACTTCTTGGTTAAGTATATTCCTAAGCATTTTATTTTTTTTGCAGCTATTGTGAAAGGGGTTGAGTTCTTGATTTGATTTCTGCTTGATCACTGTTGGTGTATAGAAGAACTACTGATTTGTGTACATTAATCTTGTATCTGGAAACTTTGCTGAATTCTTTTATTAGATCTAGGAGCTTTCTGGAGGAGTCTTTAGAATTTTCAAGGTAAATGATCATATCATCAGCAAACAGTGACAATCTGACTTCCTCTTTACCAATTGGATGCCTGTAAGGGTTTTTGAATGCTTAGATACTAACTATTGTTTATCTGTATGACAAATACTTTTTCCATATCTATAATTTTTCTATAAACTTTTTATTCTCTGCTACATTTCAGCAGACTTTGCTGGACTGAACAAAGGAGGATGAGTGCAGGAATAAAGACAAAGACGGCACCAGGGGACTCCTTGCTTCTAGTGAACGGGGGTCCTGAGCTTCTAGAGCCCATCGTATTTATTGAGTAAAGGAGATAGGGAGAAGGGGGTGGTTGTGGTCAGCCGCTTGACTTAGTGCAGGCCTGCATGACTGCATTCTTTGAACAGTAGGCTCTAGATATTCCAGTAGATAACCTCAAGGAGCACAGTGCCAGGGAGTGACTGCCCTCAGTATACCTTCTGCTGGCAGGCACAGATGTGAGTTTGCTCACATTCTGCATTCATGATGAACAGTTTGCTGTTTAATCATATAGCCTCCAGGGGAATGCTAAGTTGGTCACGACCCTTAGGCTTTCAGTTCCCAACACTACATGAAAACTTCTACATTTCATATGGTCAAATCTGTTAATCTTTTCTTCTTTCTTTTGGGTTTCCTGTATAGTATAGAAGGTCTCTCTCAACCCCAAATTTTAGTCTGCTAGATTTTTCTTTAGGATTAATATTATTACCTTTTATAGAATATGGAATTCATAGTTAGAACTGGAGCTGAACCTTTGAAGGAGGAGGGAAAGGAAACAAACACTGACAAAGCAAGGTAGTAGAGCTTGACAACTGATTTGATGTGGAATGGGCACGTCAAAACATGTCAGTATGAATTAAAAAATATATTACTGAGTTTGTCAGGAGTATGCATAGAATTTTAGGGGAAGTCTGAGTTATAAAAACAGGGCTTATTAAAGTATCTGTGGGAGGGAGAAAGAGTGTAAACAATACTTAGACATTGGAACATAAAACCAATGTTGGGCATTAGGAACAAATACTTGGAAACAAATGCTGGAAGGGTTAGATATAAACAATCTCAGAGAGACAGAGTAAAGGTAGTGGAGAGGCAGTGTGATTGTGAAGTGAAGTGCAGTTGAGACAGAAAGGACACTTCAAATTGAAAATTGAATACCAAGCTTCTTAAGCTTCTTTACTCACATCCTGGCTTGTTTGGTGGGGGCTCTAAATAAGGCAGTGAATGCTTGGAGCTTCTATACCTTAGTGGTTGAGAATATGGCTCGGATTCAGACTGCCTAAGTTCAGATTCTTCAGTAGGATGTATTAGTCATGCTACCTTGAGAGAGTTACTTATACTTCCCATCTGACATTTTATTTGCTCAATGGGGACAAAAATAATATTCACTAGTTTGTTTTGAGTATTAAATGGATTAGTTGATGTAAAGCTCTGAGAATAGTGTATTATTATATGACAGTTTAAATGGCCCCTTACTCAAAGCTGAAATTAATAATGTTTAGGTGTGAAACAATAAAGCACTCCTATTGGAAACTGTTGAACTTTACTACCTGGGAGCAACACATTTTAATCTATACAGTAAAATGATTTGTCACTGTCACTCAACAAAGTATTTTTTATCAGAATATTGGAGCAAAACCTTTGGTAAATGTAGCCAGATGTGATGAGAACAATAAAGGCATTAAAAAGTTGGATCCATTGGATATGTTTCAGATATCAAGAGTATTTAATCTAATTAATACTAATATGTCATATTAAATGGTATTGCAAATTTGAAACAATTAAGAACATATGGAAAGATCGTACCTCAATTTGCTTCAGATTTGGATTTTATGAACTGCAGACTTAAATTATTAGCAGGAATTCTCATTTTTAAATTGTCTGTTAAAATCAATTATAAATGTAAACTTATTTATTTAGTTATAGGGATTATCCTGATTATGTGGGAGCAACGTTTCCTGGAAAGATGTGTATTACTCGTTATTCTGCAGGAGTTGCACTGGTATGTAACTGTTTAATTTTTTTTTTCATTAACACGTTTAAAAATTATTTAACATGATAGCATATATTTTATACAATTTATGTGCATGTTTACATTTACAGATTGCATTTGTCTTCCATTACTGTTAAAATTTTTAAGTGTTTAGAAGGAAGAATATTTTGTAGATCAATATCTTGTTGCAATTAATTATGTTTGGGAGTTGGAATAAAAATATCATAAGTACACATGCTCTTCTTGATACATAGAATAATGCATTGTGAAAAATTATCTGCAATAAAATTTCTACAACCCAAAATAGATTTTTGCTTGCAGACATAAAATTGGAGAAATATTCTTATAGATAAAATAGATTCAAAATCAAAACAAAAACCAGATTAAGAATTCCTTAAGATGTTTCAGAACTCTGAAAGCCAGTAAAATAAACTTTTATATGTATTTATAATATTGATAAATGTGATTTTATATATATAATAGGTAAAAATAAATGCATTATTAAAAAGTTGATGCTTCTCTTTGTGCTATTTTCTTACCCTACTCCTTTTTTAAAAAACAAGTTTAAGTACTATTTTTTTTAACTTACAAAATAATTTATGTTAATGATGTCAAATTTGTTAAGTATATACATAGGAACATATAAGAAAATTAATATAATCTTGCATTTTGCCACCAGGTGGAGATAACCACTATTAACGTTTTGATTGATATATGTATCTCTTGTTTTCTTAAAACTTTTAAATAAAAAGTTTTAAGAAACTTAAAACTTAAAAGACTTTTAAATAAAAAACATTTAGAACATGTTTTTAGAAACTTTTATTCATTTTTTTATTGATACATAATAGTTGTATGTAAAGGCAGTGAGCAGAATGGTTGTTACCAGAGGCTAGGAAGGGTCGGGGAAGAGGGGAGGAAGAGAAGTTGAGTAATGGGCACAAAATTACAGTTAGGTAGAAGGAATAAGTTCTAGTATGTTTTTTTTTTTTTTTTGACAGAGTCTTGCTCTTGTACCCAGGCTAGAGTGCAGTGGCCCGATCTTGGCACACTGCAACCTTTGCCTCCAGTGTTCAAGCGATTCTCATGTCTCAGTACAGAGGTGACCCCAACAACTGGCTGAAGTTTTTTGTATTTTTAGTAAAGAAGGGTTTTCAACATGTTGGCCATGCCACTCTCGAACTTCTGGCCTAAAGTGATCTGCCTGCCTCGGCCTCGTAAAGTGCTAGGATTACAGGCATGAGCCACCATGCCTGGCCAGTTCTAGTATTCGATAGCACAATAGGGTGACTATAATTAACAATAATTTATAGTATATTTCAAAATAGCTAGAGGACAAGATTTGGATTGTTCTCAAAATAAATAAATGGCATATGTTTGAGGTTATGGATAGTCCAGTTACCCTGATTTGATCATTACATATCACCTGCATATATATCTTCTACTTTGTGTCTTTCTCTGTTTATCTGCTACTGTAGCTCTTTCTATGTATTTTTTTTTTTTGCAAAATGTGATTTTGCAGCACCTGTTTTTATTTCTAATACTTAAACATTTTTTATTACTGAAAGAATGAATACACATGGTAAATTGTTTAGGCTATAGATATACAAAGCGAAAAGTGATAGTAAAACTTTCTACCCCTTCATTTAGTCCTATTGAAGAATTTAATAATTTCCATTTAAGTTCTTCTGTTGGTTAAATTTATTTATTTAAAAATATGTATGCCCTTACTTCTATTTTAATTTATAAACTGTAGACAATATTGGTAATATTATATTTGATATGTCGAGTCCACTCTCTCTACTTGTTGCTTATGTTTAAATATATATTTTTTATATAAATAT